CCGCAGGCATGCCTTTGTTTATAAGAAGTACAGTCGGGGCCCTGAAGAAGAAACCTTTTTGGTTGGGGAGGGGCTCCGCGTTCCTTTCACAGCTTGCCTCAGGTTTTCCTTCGGTTTTCGACAGGAAATCGAAGTTCAACTTGTGGTAAATAGGGGCCTCGTTCCTTATTTAGGGTTCCTCAGGTCAAGGCCCCGACTGTATAAGAAGTACCGTTCTAGCGGTCGTCTGGAGAAGCAAGGGGCCCAAGCTGCACGCGTGCGCGGTCACCGAGTGAAAGGCACTTTCGGGCCCAAGCTTACATCCAGTCGACGGCAGTCAGGGTTTTCGGTCGCCGCGCCCGCGCGGGGGAGTCGGTGCCTTGCCGCCCTCCTCGCGCTTCGCGCGGGCGACGTGGAACCTGCCACCGAGCTGCCATCTCAATGCCTTGATCAGTGGCTCCAGACATGGATGGGGCCAACCCAACCCACGAGCAGGCGCGCGTCAAGCTCGGAAGAGGGCCGTCCTGCATCCGAGAGCCGCGGGCCCCAGTCAGAGGCCCCGACATGTGCGAGGACCGCTCGCTGCTGTTATTTCTCGCCTTCTGGAGCACGGCTGGGGGGTCGAGGGGGCCACAGGTTGGGCCGTCCCTCCCGCGCATCGCGCGCCAGGTGATCAGTGGAGACTTGATGACGACATGTGCACGGGCACTGCCGCGCTGGACCCGCACCAGGGGTTCTTGGAGTACTTCCGCGACTCTATTCGGAGCGCTCACTGGGCGAAGGCCAGCCGCCACTTCTGCGGCGCAGGCCTGGACCAAGAAGTTGACTGCACCTCCTGCCGCATCTTGCTGGAGCAGCTGGAGGCGGCCCCCTCCATCGGGCACGGGCTGGCGGAGGTTATGTTGTTTTTTGCTGTTGGCCCGTCATGGCCGTGGGCCCGTCGACGCGCCGAGATCTGGAGTTTCCAGGGCTCGGATCTTTGCCCTCGATGCGGGGAAGCACCAGAGACGATGGGGCACCCCATCTGGGTCTTCGCCTACAGTCAAGGGCATGGGACCTACGCAGGGCCCCAGAAGTCGGCCCCGCAGGCGATGGCGCAGATGGAAGTCGACCAAGGCTTCTGGCTCCGAGGACTCATGGTCAAGAGCTGGACCGCGCTACCCCCGCCACCGCCGGACGAGCTGTGGACCTCCGAGGGCATACTCACTGCGGTCAGTGAGGGCATCTGTGGCACAGGCACGTTCGCTCAACCTCTGTTGCTCAGTGGAGACGCAAGCGGGGGCCCCGACACTAACTCTTTCCCAAGTTTCGACAGTCGGACTCGCTGTCGCGTTTGTCCGCTCCCTCGAGCCCCAAGTAGATTTGTTAGCCACCATCCGGGGCCCCGCGGGGAGCTTCGAGCCCTCCTTCTCGGTCTCTGGCTGCCTAGCGGCTTTGTTTTTTTCGCTTCGGACTGCGAACCTGTAGTCCAAGGCTGGCACGAGCGTAGGTGCGAAGGGGCCCAGACGCGGACCTCTGGCCCGAGCTTGGGACTCTTCTGGCCAGGCGGGGACCCGCTCATGAGGTCTCCTGTCGTTTTCGTTCATTCCCACCAGTCCCCCCCGGACATTGTTCGGGATCCCAGCAAGCGTCGGGCCATCACTGCCACTGCCATTGTGGATGGAGTGGCAGGCGCTGCCGCTCTCGAAGCTCGTCTGCCCGAAGCCTTCCGCCATTCGAAAGAGCGCGTTCTGTGGTCGCTTGGACGGGGGGGGGGTGAAACCGGACCGCCCCCCCCCTGGATGAAGGGGGAGGGGGGTGTTTCGACCCCCCCCCCTTCCGTGACGGGGGGGCGGGGGGGTTCGAACCCCCCCCCCGCTGTTGCCCCTCTCTTCGGGCCGGCGCGTGCGTCGTCGGCGGCGGCGGCAGCAGCGGGGACGACGATTTCCATTTCTGGGCCGGCGCCGGCGCCTGCGGCGGCGGGCGGTGGTGGCGGGGAGCGTCGACGAGGACGACGGTGGTCTTGGTGGTGGTCGATTGCGGTGGTGGTGGTGGTGGCGGTGGTGGTTGTTGTGGTGGTGGTGGTGGTTTGTTGTGTTGGTGGTGGTTGTGGCGGTTGGTGGTGGTGGTGATGGTGGTGGGTTGGTGGTGGTGTGGTGTTGGTTTGCGGTGGTGGTGGTGGTGTTGGTGGTGGGTTGTAGTGGTGGTGGTGGTGGTAGTTTGGTGGTGGTGTGGTGGTAGTTTGTGGTGGTGGTGGTGTGTTGTGGTTGTGGCGGTGGTTTGTGGGGGTGGTGCTGGTGGTGGTGGTGGTGGTGGGTTGTGGTGGTGGTGGTGGCGGTGTGGTGGCTTGTGGTGGTGGTGGGTTGTGCTGCAGGTAGTGGTGGTGGTTGTGGCGGTGGTGGTGGTGGTGTTGTGGTAGATTGTGGTGGCTGGTGGTGGTGGTGGTGTTTTTTTGTGGTGGTGGTGGTGATGGTGAGTTGTGGTGGTGGTTGTTGTGGTGATGTGGTGGTGGTGTGGTGGTGGTTTGTGGTGTTGGTGGTGGTGGTGGTGGGTTGTGATGGTGGTGGTGATGGTTTGTGGACGTTTGTTGTGGTGGTGGTCATGGTGGTGGTTTGTGGAGGTGGTGCTGGTGGTGGCGGTGGTGGGCTGTGGTGGTGTTGGTGGCGTTGTGGTGGCTTGTGGTGGTGGTGGTGGGTTGTGCTGCAGGTAGTGGTGGTGGTTGTGGCGGTGGTGGTGGTGTTGTGGTAGATTGTGGTGGTGGTGGTGGTAGTGGTGGTGTTTTTTTTTGGTGGTGGTGGTGGTGGTGGTGGTGGTGGTGGTGATGCTGAGTTGTGGTGGTGGTTGTTGTGGTGATGTGGTGGTGGTGTGGTGGTGGTTTGTGGTGGTGGTGGTGGGTTGTGGTGGTGGTGGTTTGTGGACGTTTGTTGTTGTGGTGGTGGTGGCGGTGGTGGTGGTGTGGTGGTTTGTGGTGGTGGCGGTGGGTCGTGCTGCTGGTAGTGGTTGTGGTTTTGGCGGTGGTGGTGGTGTGGTATATTGTGGTTGTGGTGGTAGTGGTGGTGTTTTTTTGTGGTGGTGGTGGTGATGGTGAGTTGTGATGGTGGTGGTGGTGGCTGTGGTGGTTGTGGAAGTTGTGCGGTGCTGTTGGTGGTGGTGGTGGTAGGTTGAGGCGGTGGTGGTGCTGGTAGTGGTGGTGGTGGTAGTAGTGATGGTAAGTGTCGCTGCGTCCACGCCGTCGCCGGCGCCAGCGCTGGCGCTGCTGGCCGCCGCCAGCGCCTTGCCGGCGCGATGGGGGGGAGGGGTTGAACCCCCCTCCTCGCCCCCCCTTGGGCTGCCTGTGGTCATCGTCGCTGCGTCCCCGCCGTGGGCGCTGCTGGCAGCCACCAGCGCTGGCGCCGGCGGCGCCGACGGGGGGAGGGGGGGGACCCCCCCCCCTGGGAGAGGGGAGGGAAGGGAGGGAGGGGGGGAGGGGTTGGGGGGGAGGGGGGGGCCACCTGGTTTTGATCGACGGCGCCGAGTGTTGGGGGGGGCCCCACCCCCCGGTTCGAAACGCGCCGCCGATTGTTCCCCAAGCAAGCGCCCGTGAAACGCGTTCTCTCCGCAATTCCGTTCTCATGTATGAAAGCAGGGTTCCACTTGTTCGCATGCGAAAATTAAACGCTACGCTCGATTCATGTACCGCCGAATTGAAGGATAGGCCCGCTGACGGCCATGGGGAGTCTAGAAGATGGAACAAACGAGCCTCGCCTCCCCAAGCCCCGCCTGCTACCGCCTCCCTTGCCAGTTTTCTTGTCCTCTCACGCCCTCGACGACAGTGTTCGGGGCTGCACGAGATGTAGGGCTTCGGCGTCCAAGAGCACCCTCACCGAGTGGCGCCGATCGCCATGCTTTGCGATGCTCAACTATGACGGCACCATTTTCGAGAACCCCCCACAAGCCAGGCTCCACATAACAGGCGGGATGGGTGCATGAGTCCCATAAGATGCGCTTCATGGTGGCATTTGTTTGTGGTATTGTGTCGGTTGCGGCTGCTACGCCAGCCAACAGCTACGTGGCTCAACAAACCCTGTCTGGAGGTAGTGGCTCACCACAGGGTTTAGTATCTCACGAGAATCTCCCAGGGCCAATGGCCCATTGTGCTAAATGCATCGGAGATTCGTGCCAGAGGCACCCCAGTGTAGTTCACACGCCCAAGAAGGCCGGCTTCGGTTGTCAGATTTGACGTTGCCACGTAGTCATGCTCATGCTCCTCCTCCTCCTCCTCCTCCTCCTCCTCCTCCTCCTCCTCCTCTATTCCTTTCTTCCCCTTTTGGGCATTTCTGTGTGCTGAGCCCTCTCCTTGACCGGGGCGCCGAAGAAAATCATTGTCTCAGCGATTATTTCTTTGCGCGCGAGTTGCTGGTTGAACTGCTGCGTCTTGTAGCGTGATTTGTTTGTCCGCCGCAGCTCCTGGTGAAGAGTTCAGCGTAAGCTGTGGAATCGTGCGGTCCGCTCCCATCTTCTCCCTCGAACGCAAGATCTTACGCTTCTCATGCTCCTCTGGAACCCGTGCTCCCCGGCTCCGGGACCGTCAAAAGTCGTTCGGGATGGACGACGCCGGTCCCGAAGAAAGCCCCGACGATCGAGATCAGAAGCGGCATGAGCACAGATTGTCTTGGGCCGGCGCTGCGCTGGGCTCCTCTCTCCCCGCTGTGGAGGGGCTGGTCCAGCGCCGACCCGAGACGTCCACGCGGACCTCCGAACGCCTGTGTTTATTGATGCCTTTTGTTTTTTCGAGGGAAAAGAAGGACGACACACATTACAGTGGGGGCCCATGTCAAGAACACCCTGGATTTCTTGGGATTCGACGGTTTTCCCATGGAAAGCGTGACGTTCCCACACCGACAATCAATGCACGCGCTGGGATATCAGGCTTGAGTTTCTTGTGGAAGGTTTCTTGTGGACTGGCCTCCACTGTAATACGCCACGCGCCCCAGGCTACTAGAGCGCGCGTGCAGATCGCCTTTGCCGCGTGCGAAGAACAACAACAATTGTTTCCATCCCAGGTCAAAAAGATGATCAAGGACCTCATCGTGCGCCTGATGGAGGAGGCGAACGAGGAGGCCGAGCACAAGGGCTGGTGCGATACTGAGCTGACCACTAACAAGCAGACCCGCGAGGAGAAGACCTCGGCGGTGGAGACGCTCCACGCCGAGATCGACGGGCTGGAGTCCTCTATACAGCAGCTCGCGCAAGACATCGAGGACCTCGCCGACGCCATCGAAGCGCTTGACAAGGCCATGACCAAGGCGACGGAGCTGCGCCAGGAGGAGAAGGCCACGAACCTCGCGACCATCAAGGACGCCAAGGAAGCCCAGACAGCCGTGGCAGAGGCCCTGGCCATTCTGAAGGAGATCGTTCGTTTTGAACAGTTAGTTTCATACAACAACAGGAGTCATGATGACATGATACAGACAAATCCAAAGCACATAATGCAACACGCAATAATGCTCAACACCAAGAGAACAACACACAACACAAACACAGCAAGTGCTATCCACAGGAGTTCTACGCCAATGCCGGCGAGGCGACGGCCCTAGTGCAGCAGCAGCCGACCCCGCCGCCGATTTTCGACAGCCCCTACAAGGGCATGCAGAGCGAGTCTGGCGGCGTGATCGGCATGATCGAAGTGATCGAGGCGGACTTTGCCCGGCTGGAGGCGGACACGGCCGCGGCCGAGGAGGCGGCCCAGAAGGAGTACGACGAGTTCATGACCGACTCCTCGATGGACAAGGAGGCGAAGACCACCGACCACGACCACAAGACCACCAAGAAGGAGGACCAGGAGCAGACTCTGGCCTCGAAAAAGGAGGACCTTGCGAACACCCAGAAGGAACTCGATGCTGCGATGGCCTACTTCGACAAGCTGAAGCCCTCTTGCGTGGAAGCTGGGGTCAGCTACGACACCCGCGTGAGCAATCGCAAGGAGGAAATCGAGTCGCTCCAAGAAGCCCTGAAGATCTTGAACGGCGAGGACATCCCCTGAGCGCCAGGATTGAAGACCCAGCCCGTCCGCTGGAGGTCTGTGCCCATCACCGAGCCTCGACCCGCGCCTAGGCCCTCTCCGTGACTGCGGGGAGGAAGAGGAAGAGGAGGAGGAGGAGGAGGAGGAGGAGGAGGAGGAGGAAGAGGAGGAGGACGAGGAGGAGAAGGAGGAGGAGAGGGAGGAGGAGAGGGAGGAGGAGGAGAAGGAGGAGGAGGAGGAGGAGGAGGCGCCTGAAGATCGTGAACGGCGAGGACATCCCCTGAGCGCGTGACACGGCAGCCCCTGTGCGGCGCAGACTTCCGGGAGCCAGCGGCGCGGTGAGGAAGTCCCAGCCTCCCCGCCTCCTCGCCGCGGGAGGAACCATAGGAGCTTCGCGCCGCGGGCTCCCGAGCGACGCGGAGAAACGGAGTCATTTGCTGCGACGTTGCCGCGCAAGATTCCCGCGTGCCATCGACAGTAACATAACCCCTGACCCTGATAACACGATGAAGACGTGGCCTCATCTCGGTCCCCGTCTTCGCACCAGGGATGCTACATCTGGGCAGTGTGGTCTGATGCATCTGCATAAAAGACCCCCTTTGATCCCCAATGTTGCTGGCCCTTCTAACGCAGGTTCCCCTCCAAAGGGTCAGGGGCCCTTTGATTGCTAATCAGCGTGAGGTCGCGCGTAAGCGCCCTCGTTTCCGCTGAAGCGTGCCGCCCGGGTGGCCCACGAAGGCAACGGCGTGAGCTTGCTGCGCCTTCTTGCGCAGGGCCCGTTTCGTTTCGGCGTTCTCTTTCCGAACCCAGTGCAGGAGGAGGTGGATGAGGAGGAGAAGGAGGAAGAGGAGGAGAAGGAGGAGGAGGAGGAGGTGGAGGAGGAGGAGGAGGCGGTGGCGTCGTGACTTTGTAATCAAGGTGGACCCTCCGGGGTCTAGGACCCCCAGCTCCGCTCTCCCCGACTCTCCCCGACTCTCCGACAGTCTGACGTCTGGTCAGCGCTCAAGCCCAGCAGCCCCGCCACCTTTCGAAGAGCGGAAACCTTACGCCGGCCAGGCGACCCCCTCATCCTATTACTGCAGATTGAAAAGTACTGGACCTCTTTGCGCGAAAAACGAACGAATAGCGCGCTCAGCTGGAAGACGAACCGCCTTCAATACTTGAATTTCTTCCACATGTCTAAGACGAGTGTGCGCGGCGCTAAGGCGAGAACCGCATTTTGAAAACCATCGTGAAGCTCTTTGTACTTGTTTAAAAAGAATGTGCGCGGCACCCAAGCAAGAGCCACATTTGAAAAACCACCCGCCCTCAATCCGTGAAACCCTTGCAATTTGTGGAAACGAATGTGTGCGGCGCTAAAGCGAGAGCCACACTTTGAAAACCATCCGCCCTCAATCCGTGAAACTCTTGCGCATGTGTAAAGCGAGTGTGCGCGGCGCTAAGGCGAGGGCCACATTCTGAAAACCACCCGCCCTCCATATGTGAACTTGTTGCCAATGTTTACGCTTCAGTGTCATAAATGGTGAGGAAGCCTCAGGCGAAACGCCCAGCCCGCCCTTTCGACAGGCCTCGGGGTGCGACAGGGAGAAATAAGGAAAAGGAGCTCAGGAGGAGAAATCAGGAGGAGGAGGAGGAGGAGGAGGAGGAAGAGGAAGGCCGTTTGCGGGAGCTCTATCCCCCGCGCCCGCCCCTGTCACCGCGCCCCGCCCGCGCGGCCTCCTTCATGGGGGCCGGCCTCAGCGCGCCGCCGCGTCATCGGGGGCGGGCGGCGCTCGTACCACGAAAAGGTGATCAACCGCGAACACAACACGTACGAAACCGACCCACTTTAGTGGAGACCTTCCAGCCAGCATGCCGAGACCATACACGCATAATTTCTGAACGTGCGCGAACAGACGCGACACAACAATGAGTGGGGTACAACGTCATACATACGGTACAACCTCGATCCGGCAATACCATTATCATTGCCACGGCCGCCCTCGCGATGTCGTCCAAGTGCGACAGCTAGTACGAAGCACAGCACGACACCAAGTACGGCACAACGTACATCGTGGTGGAGATACCGGTGGACCACGGCAACGCCGCTTATGCCGACTACGATTGCGACCAATTCGCCCTGTGCGACCAGCACGACCACCAGCACGTGGTCGACGACAGCTTGCGCAACAGGGCAACGAGAGCCACCACCTGAGCTACGAGGGCCACCTGCAGATCTACGAGGACCACGTTTCGATGTACGAGCGCCACCACCAGACAACTGGAGCGCGGAGCACTACGACCTGGCAGCCGGCGGCCCCGATTTGGACCATGGGGAGGCGAAGGAATCATATCAGGAGGAGTCCACAAAGGAGGCAGACTTGGAGGAAATGGCCCTGCTTGGAGGAGGGCGAAGACTGTCGGAAAACGGGCGATCTAGAGACGCGGGTGCTTCACACGTCGGGGACGAACATCGAATGGCCAGCTCCGGGTGTGCTGGCCGCTCATCGCAGGCGGCCTTGCCTGGCTTCGTCGGCGCCAACTGTGTCGCTGGGTCAAGGCTCGGGGGGTCACCTCCTCGCTGGGCCGAGTGCCTGCCGTTCCTTGGCAGGGCGCTGTACACGGCGCGGGCCGTCGCAGGGCAGACGGCTCCCTACGGGGCCGTTGGGCCTGCCGTTCCGCGGCAGGGCGCCGCGCAGGGCACGGCGCGGCGCACGACCGAACGACGACCGCTGCAGTGCGGCGCGTTTCCTGCGAGCGCACCTTCGCGCCGGCCGCGACGATTACATTCGATTCCCGCCCGCCCGCCCGCTCCGCGTCACGACACGCGCGTGCCGCGGCGAAGGACTAAGCTACGGCCAGTGCGCGGCCGCCACCTCAGCTCCCGCTTCCCGAGGCAGCAGCCAGCACGGAAGTTTGGGGGGGTGCTCACAGGGACGAATCTTGGCGGCTCCTTCCCTGGTGGGCTGGGGGCACACTTGCCCCCTTGATGCTGGGGTAAAGCATCTACCAACGTCGCGAGATCCAAGAAAGCCGACGAGGAGGAGGACTACGAGGAGCACGGCCTGAAGGAACAGGGCGACATGGAGCTGTCTGATCCACTTGCTGAGCTACGAGGGCCACCAGCAGAGCCAATTACAAGGACCACCGCCTGGGCGACCAGGACCACGAGCCGAACTACGTGGGCCAGAAGCACATCCATGAGGACCACGAGCCGAGCTGCGAGGCCCACCGGCCGAGCTGTGAGCGAGGGTCACAGCCTGAGCTCCGTGGGCCACAAGTAGAACTGCGGGAGCCTCTTGCAGAACTACCGTGGCCACCAGAAGACCTTCGAGGACAACAAGCTGAGCTACGAAGGTCACGCGCAGCTACTAGTGCCACCGGAAGAGCTCCAATGCCCACCTGCTGAACTACGAGAGCCACCACCAGAGCTACGAAAGCCAGAAGATGTGCTGTCTGTGAGGAACGCGAGCTGAGAAAGAGCGCGTTCTGTGTTCGCTTGGAGGGGTGGGTGGGTGGAGCAGGAGCCTCCCCCCCACTCCTTGCTTCCCCTCTCTTCGGGCCGGCCCTGCGCTTGGGTCGGCGGCGGCTGGCGACGGCGGTGGGGACGACGATTTCCATTTCTTGGCCGGCGCCGGCGCCTGCGGCGGCGGGCGGCGGTGGCGGGGAGCGTCGACGAGGACGACGGTGGTGGTGGTGGTGGTGGGTTGTGGTGGTGGTGGTGGCGGCGGTGGTGGTGGTTGTTGTGGTGGTGGTGTGGTGGTTTGTTGTGGTGGTGGTGGTTGTGGCGGTGGGTGGTGGTGGTGGTTTGGTGGAGGTGTGCTGGTGGTTTGTGGTGGTGGTGGTGGTGGGTTGTGGTGGTGGCGGTTGTCGTGGTGGTTTGGTGGTAGTGTGGTGGTAGTTCGTTGTGGTGGTGGTGGTGGGTTGTGGTTGTGGTGGTGGTTTGTGGAGGTGGTGCTTGTGGCGGTGGTGGTGGTGGTGGCGGTGGTGGTGGTGGTTGTGGCGGTGGTGGTGGTGGCGTTGTAAATCGTGGTGGTGGTGGTGGTTGTTGCGGTGGGTTTTTGTGATGGTGGTGGGGATGGTGAATTGTGGTGGTGGTGATGGTTGTGGTGGTGTGGTGGTGGTTTCTGGTGGTGGTGGTGGGTTGTGGTGGTGGCGGTGGTTTGTAGACGTTTGTTGTAGTGGTGGTGGTGGCGGTGATGGTGGTTGTGGTGTGGTGGTTTGTGGTGGTGGCGCTTGGTCGTGCTGCTGGTAGTGTTGTTGGTTGTGGCGGTGGCGGCGGTGTTGTGGTAGATTGTGGTGGTGGTGGTGGTGGTGGTACTGGTGCTTGGTTTTTGTGGTGGTGGTGGTGGTGGTGATGGTGAGTTGCGGTGGTGGTTGTGGTGGTGTGGTGGCTGTGGTGGTGGTGGTGGTTGTGTGGTGCTGTTGGTGGTGGTGGTGGTGGTGGTGGTGGTGGTGTTGGTGGTGTCGGTGGTGGTGGTGGTGGGTTGAGGCGGTGGTGGTGGTGGTGGGTTGTGGTGGTGGTGGTGGTAGTGTTGGTAATCGTCGCTGCGTCCCCGCCGTCGCCGGCGCCAGCGCCGGCGCCGCTGGCCGCCGCAAGCGCCGGCGCCGAGTGGGGGGGGGGTGTTTAAAACCCCCCCCCTTGGGCTGCCTCTGGTCATCGTCGCCGCGTCCCCGCCGTGGGTGCTGCTGGCGGCCGCCAACGCCGGCGCCGGCGCCGGCGCCGAGGAAGAGGAGCAGGGGGGGAGGAGGGGCAGGGGGATGGAGAGGAACACGATACGGATGGGGAGGGGGGGCGAGTGTGACGGAATGGCGGGGGGGCAGCGGACTTCGGCGGAGGACGACGACGAGGAAGGGGGAGACGACGAGGAAGAGGACAAGTGGGGGCAGGGGCCAGGAAGGGGGAAGGACGAGGAACAGGACGGCGACGGCGCGGCTGCCCGGCTGCGGGGGCGGTCGGCGCGCGCGCGCGTGAGCGGCACCGCCGAGGCGCTGCGGCGCCGCCCGCGCGGAAGCGCGCCAGGAGCGCCCCCCCCCCCCCCCCCCCCCCCCCCCGCGGAGGGGGGGGTGGCGGGCACCCGCCCGGCGAGACGGGCCCAACGAGCCCCCCAAAAGGCTGCAGCTGGCGCCGCCCAAACATGGTAATATATTGTGTGTTCGTCGCCCCTCCGAGGGGCGAATTGTCATGGGCCTGTGTTCCACCACCACCACCACCATAAGCTGGAGGGAGCAGGAGGTGGAGGAGGAGGAGGAGGAGGACGAAGAGGAGGAGGAGGAGGAGGAGGAGGAGGAGGAGGAGGAGGAGGAGGAGGACCCCCTCCCCCTCCTATTTCTGATGGTGGTGGTGGTTGAAGCCCACCATCTCGTGCACCGAGAGATCTTACAGTATTCGAATGTGCGCCGTGGCGGGCGGTTTCTGCCCACACCGCCCGGGAAACGATGTGTTACAATATGGGTATACTATATGTTCGGGTCGGACGCGCGTCTCCAAAGATGAACTCGAGTCTTCGAGTGTCTCTGTGCATCCCAGTGTTCCGAGGTGTTGGTCTCTCGCGTGCCCCTCCTTCCAGAGTCCCGACGGGTCATGACAAGATCGCGGCAGAAGGTTTTTCGGTATGTTCGGCCGCTGAGGCTCCGTATTGGGCCCCGGGACCGTCAAACGTAGGAGTCGTAGGTGTAGTAGTAGGAGTCGTAATAGTAGTTGTGGTAGTGGTACTAGTAGTAGTACTAGTACTCGTACTCGTACTAGTAGTAGTAGTAGTAGTAGTAGTAGTAGTAGTAGTAGTAGTAGTAGTAGTAGTAGTAGTAGTAGTAGTAGTAGTAGTAGTAGTAGTAGTAGTAGTAGTAGTAGTAGTAGTAGTAGTAGTAGTAGTAGTAGTAGTAGTAGTAGTAGTAGTAGAAGTAGTAGTAGTAGTAGTAGTAGTAGTAGTAGTAGTAGTAGATAGTAGTAGTAGTAGTAG